TCTTTTATTTAATTTTCCCCATTCTCCTTCGTCCCTTCATAAGGCCCGCCCCACCTCTTTCGTCCCAGCCCCATCCCCTCTGCCTTGCAGGCATCCCCCCACCCCGCCCACCCCCACAACGTAGCCCAGCCCCATAGGCATAAGATTCTATAAAAAGAAACACCGCAGTTCGCGAGTTATTCCCTAATAAATGCTTCATAAATACCAGCTGTATTGTGGTGTAATTTTTTTCTAATCTATATCTAGGCTTTAGGCGCCCTCTATGTGGAGTCAAGCAGACACCTACTGGCGCCTGTCCGCGTCGATCTTCAGCCGCTTAAGTTTCGGCGTTCTCTATGTTATCGCCCATAGGTCTAGTGGGCGGCCATGTTAGGCATATTTACTCCCCACCTCGGCGTGCCGCTTGTGGCGCCGCAAAGAGAGAGAGAGAAGGCTCCATTTGTTTTAAGCTCCTGGCTCTTATTGTACTTGACGTTTATTTTTATTGATTCTACATAAAAGAACAAACAAAATGATACCTCAGTGTTTACGATACAACTATTATTAAGGATTTTAAATCATTTTTATGATGTTTTGAAGCAAAATTTAAAAGTTTGGTGACACAAAATGCAGTGCAAAAATTTGGCCAAATCAGGGCGAAAATTGATTCACAAAAATGGTCGCTGCTTTTGAACTAACAAAGATAGCACACAAGTTTAAAAAGCTATGAAAACAGAAAGCCAAGCTCTTTCCTATAATCCAAATTTTAGTGCCCTTGGGGAAGTTTGAAAATTTCACTGAAGTGCCTATACAGCACAGCAACTAGACCGAGGAAAAGATGGCTTCCAACAAAGACAAAATTCTCACTCGAATTAAAGGCCAAGATAATCAACGAAGTTGACAAGAAAAGGAAGACTAATCTAAAGCGCAAATTGTATTGATATATATATATATAATATGGAAGAGAGGTGATCATGTGGATTTTTATAACAATTTCGGTAATTCCCGTTTGCATTCCAAAAGCGGGAACTCCCCAACAACGGGATTTTCTTCTGGAACCACACCAGGCCTTCTCAGCGCGACCGTAGTCTGAAAATGTGGACAAAGAGTCTACATAACAAGAGGGGCCACTCCTCTCTTTGAGCTAATTAAAAAAGTGTCCTCAAAATTCGGTGGCGCCCTCTTCGCAAATGCGCACCCTTTGCGAACAGAGTTACCCTACCTAAGTTTAAAAAATCAAAGTGAAACTAAAAAGTTTTTGAATAAATTACGGAAGAACGCTTTTTTAAAATGGTTACGCTGACAAAAAAACCACTTCCGGAGGAAGGGGTGATTGTTTTCTTCGTTTAATTTGACTTTAGAATGAAAGGCGAGAGGTCTTTAAAATAAAAAAAAAAAAACTAAAACTCCGCACTGAACGAAGCCGAACTGCTGATGAACAGCTGTCGATCTGCGCCCGCAAGGAGGTGCTATTTCTATTCTTCTTCTTGAAAAATGAAATAGAGCTTCAAAACAGACTGCAGCGCCATCTGAAGCAAAGAGCGGACTTCCGGCGGACACATTTTTGGCTGAGTGGACCATCTTGTTATGTACTATCTTTGATGAGGAGGCGACGCATAACTAAGTCAGAACGTGGGAGTCACATGGTTGTTATCTCATTCCTATAAATATAGCATTTAACAAATTCCCCGGCTGAAATAAAGAAATATCCTTCCTTTAATAACAATTAGCTTTCTATGCGCACTTTACATTTCTCCATTTTTGAAAATGTTCTTCATTTTAATTACAATTGTTTTTGTTAACTTGAAAAACATTTCTGAAATTTAATAGAGGTCTATGTCAGGGGAGGTGAGAAGAACAGCGACGGAAGTAAACAAAGTTTTCAAAATGTCAGCCGCCTTGCCTTGTGACCTGTGATGTGAAACTGAAACGTGTGACATGAGGATAGGCCTAGAGTATTTCATTTGGATTATCAATTTCAGTGATTTCTAATGGAATAATGTACATTGTATAGACTTGTTGAAAAGGGGCAAAAAATGTTGTGTTACTGGGTGCAGGTCAAATTATGACTCTACTGACAAGGTTACCGTTTTAAGTCTGACTACATCTAGATCTAGATCTAGATCTAGATCTAGATCTAGATTCTAGATTAGATCTAGATTAAGCATGGGCGAAGTCGAGTCGAGTTTCGGAATTCGACGAATTCGTAGGGTCTGAATCGGAGCTCGAACATTGGGCAGGAGGACGAGTCCGAACACGAATTCCCGAACTAGGGCAGCCAAGGGGAAAATGGAACACAAGGCCGTAAGAGGCCAAGGTCAAATTTACGCACTACGGTGACGGACGAGCATTGCGTCTCTGATTGCACCAATCACAATTTCAATTAAAAGATTATGGGATGCCTCGAGATGCTGCAAGCGATCTTCCCGTCTAATTCAAATCCCATTATCCCAGCCTCCTTCTTTCTTTGGATTTCACTGCGATCATACACATTTCACTACTTTTCTTCTCTTCCTTGTACTACATGTATTTTCTTACAACCTGTCTTTCACTTACATTTTCATTGTCACATTTCTTGTCTCTTTTGCATTACTCCATTTGTGTTTTCAACCTTGTATGTTTCATCTTGTCATAATAAATGTTGATTATGATATAGATCTAGATCTAGATCTATTACAGTGGAATCCTGTTATAACGAGAGGGAGGGGACTGGTGCAAAATGTCCGTTATAGCAGGATTATCGTTACAAGGGTTCCAATAATAAATTCAAGGGAAATGGTAAAGTAGGCCTAATCTATGAGTTTGGAGCTCTGTTTATTCTTTTTTGTATTTCCCCTGATGATGATTTGTTCAACATGATCCCTAGGTCTTACTTGATCAAAAATCGAATTAGGTTTCTTTCTCTAGCTCTAGCAATGTTGACAGCTCGGCGTTGGCGATCAGAAAGAAGGGGGTCTGGCTCTAGGCTAACTCGCCCGCTGTGTTGTCCCCCACCCCTGTGGTGCGTTGCGTCTGCTTGCGCACGTCACACATTCACTCAATCTATCACAGCATTGTGACTTCTCCATCCCGCACCAGAGAAGTGAGAGGCACGGTATGCCTAGGTAATCTAGACTGGGCTGGCTTATCACGCCATGCGTTCTGCTTGTCTGCGCATGCCACTCACTCCCCACTCATTCGCTTCGGCCTTCATTGTTGGTTCGCGTGGGCTCTCCCATTCTTAATTTCGCTGGATCACCAACAACTTTCTCAACTGGCAAGGTTTTATAATATGTAACTGGTCTGTGCACTGTGCACAGCAGCAGCAATATTCCGTTAAAACCGACTCGCGTGACGGTCTGATGGCGCAATAGCAGTATTTTATTTACAAAGATAAAGAAGGAGAAAAAACGGGGTTTTAGAATAATGTCTTAATAACAGACTTCTCGTTGTTTCAGGACTCGTTATAAGTGGACTCCACTGTACTGTTATTTTTTATTGACTTGTGTCTTGCTGACTGTTGCTTTGATTAATGCATGGTCTGACTTTAGAGTTCGAGACTGCAGGATTTTATGCTTTGATTTTTATTACGACCTGTTTGCATCCATTACTTGAGTGAAGTGACCTGCTGTTTTGATTTCCATTGTTTGCTTTGCTTTGAATTTGTTTACTGCTTTGTTCTAGCGCACCTAACATCTTTGTATTGTTGAAGTAATATGGCTTCAAGCTCAGCATCTGGATCTAGGAGTAGTGTCGTATGGACTCTCATGGAAAGATCTTTTGATCGAAAGAAAGCAACATGTAAAGTTTGCCGGGCTACGTTTAGCCATCAAGGGAGCACAACAACAATCCTAAAACACCTCCAGAGAGCCCACCCTACAGAGCTTGAGCAAGCAAGGACTGAGAAAGACCAAGAGCACAGAGAGTCCAGTTCTGCCCCAGCAACCTCATCAAGACTAACTCAGATGTCTGTTTTACAGTCCCTTGAGAAGTCCAAGCCATATGACCCTCATGGACAGAAGAAAAGAGCACTGGATACCCTACTGATGGAAATGATAGCCGCTGATCTCCAGCCTTTCTCCATTGTTGAGGATAGGGGGTTTCTTCGATTTGTGAAAGGTCTGGACCCAAAATACAGTCTTCCAAGTCGACGGACACTCACAAGGAGCCTCCTCCCTCAGCTGTATATCGACGAGCAGGCGAAGGTGATGCATCTTCTGATGGACACGAACTTTGTTTGTCTAACCACGGACCACTGGTCATCCCGACGTATACAGGGCTTCCTGACCGTGACAGCCCATTTCGTCACAAGCGACTGGGAGCTCCAAGCCTGTGTCCTAGATACAGTCAGGATTGCCACCTCCCTCACAGCACAAACCATCGCAGGTGCTTTGACTGAGGTGATGGACAGATGGAAGATAACGGACAAGGTCTTTGCTGTCATCACAGACAACGCTGCAAATATGAAACTGGCTGTGGATCTTCTGGGTGTCAGGCATGGACCTTGTTTTGCTCCCCTCCTGAACCTTGTTGTCTCTGATGCCCTCAAATCCCCTCAAGCAGGCATTGAAGAAGTCAAGAAAAAAGTTAAAATCATCGTTGCTCACTTCAAACACAGCGTGAAGGCTAGTGACAACCTGGAGCGATTACAACGGAGCGCACCTGGAGCTGCTGGTCCATCTTCGTCTTCTGAACCATTGCGGCTGATTCAAGAAGTGGACACAAGATGGAACAGCACCTTCTATATGTTTCAGAGGTTTCTCCATCTCTACCAGTTTGTTAAAGCTGCACTTCTAGAGGAGGACAAACCAGAAAAATTCCTGACAGAGGAGGAACTCAATAAAGTAAAAGAAGCCATCACCGTCCTCGAACCATTTGAACTGACCACTAGGGAAATGAGCTCTGAGAAATATCCAACTGCTTCAAAGATCATTCCTTTAGTTGACAATCTGGAAAAGATCATGAGACAAACCAAAGGTGATCTGGCGGCTCAGCTGAGATCTGGGATACTATCAAGATTCGCCGGTGCAGAAGAGCGCTTCTTATGGGCAGCAGCGACATTCATTGACTCTAGGTTCAAGAAGCATGGCTTCCGCAACCCTGACAACGCGCAAGTCATCAAGGACAGACTGATGAGCCGAA